AAAGGATAACCATCCACACGCATGATATCACTTGAAACATTAGATATAAACCAAATGAATTATTATGAATAGAAGTCCTTTCACACCAGAAGATCCCAAGAGAACGCAACCTAATCAGATAATACACACCAAAGAACCATGAGGAGAGATAAATTCTCATATACTTTTTGAAATAAAGTATTCAGATTGTCTACTTTCATTAACACATTAGACAAATATACAACTTTCGTCAGGATATTTGCCATCAGTCACATGCACATCTTCAAGAGCAGATAATACTACCTTCTTACACATGTTTTGACATTATTCTTCTGCATTCAGATTAAGCCAATGACTATACACTCCACCATGACCAGACATTTCAACTTTGGCATCTAATGGTGATCGTCAGACTTCATGCCATGGATTTCAAGGACAACTTCCTTATGCATAGAAAGAGATTCCCACTAACAAGCTTCTTCAACATCATTAGAGGAGTAACAACATAAGATATAACAGCAACCAAGATATCAGGGTAGTACTAGGTGAAAACTACTTATCACACCATCCAAGAGAAATACATTCTCAACATGTCGGAACATTGTGTCTGGCAGCTGTTCACAATGACAACAGTCCAAACCACACCAGAGACTCCTCCAAAGCCTTCCCTTGAACAACTGCTCAAAGCACATCAGAGAATTTTGAAGATTCCCACCCTCAAAAGCATCACATCAGACACACCATTAACACCACCTTTTCTCCTTTAGCATTAACAGATGCAACTCAGTCCATCCTTACCAAAAGTGGTCATCTTTCCATGAGTATGCTAAGAGATCATAGACCCAGAGACAGTTTATATAAACACTCTTGTCTTTCTTCAATGATTTGTCACCTTCATGTTAGACTTCTTGAACCTATATACCAGGACATCACCGTCTATCAACCATATTTATAAGTGCCTTTATATATGGACTTGAGATAAACTTCAAGTATCTTTGGCAAATTTGAATATCTGGTTGCAGAAATCTTCCAAGTATCACACCTTCATAGAATAAACCTTCAAAGGGAACTGAATCATAAAGGTATTTCAAGAGCATACCTTATGGAGTCCTCAACACCAGAGACCCCGGGAACTACCAGGGTGCTTACATCAGAGACAACTAGAGCGGAACACAAAACTAAAACTCCTTGACACCCCGCAGACATGTCATAAGGCTCTTCACAAGCACTACAATTCAGGTGACACCAGACCAACATAGGTTTGAAAATAAATCAAACACACAACTCAGAAAACATAGTAGATCACTACCACAACAACATGATGTCATAGATAATGCACCCTCCTGCTTCAAGGGATCATCCAAACAAAAACATGAATTGTCCAAGTTCACAAAACATGAACGAGGTCATAACATTTGGTAAGACATCATACACACATCTACCACCATCAGCAGTGGCATTAGAAGCACTATAGCTTTGGGAACAAGACATTCTTGATCATCTTCGGGTGATCCACCACCTCTTGCTTCTATCGAATAGCCTCCAGCACTCCTTGATTCTTTCACACGTTCTAGAAGTGTTATCCCTGAACTCTCTTGTCATTGCCTCTAAACATGTCTTCTTCAAACCATCCCTTTGCAAAGATCTTTTATTTACAGAACCACCTTTCTTATCCATTGAACCAGAAAGTATCTTCCCCAACCTCACCCAGAAGATAACATGATGCATACTCTGATACCAATTAAAACTCTAGTATTCAGATCACAGATGTCCTAAAAGATGTCGAGATACCTTTTTCTGAATTTGCACACAATTAACAATATGAATAAAAAACACAGTGCAAAAAGATAAAGAACACAAGGAATTGTTATCCCAGTTTGGTGAATCGATACACCTACTCTGAAGGCTACCAAACTATGAAGGAAATCCGCTATCAGTAGTATAAATTCAAAGCTAAATACTCCAGTTTACAACTTATCACTTAATCCCTACTCTGTGCAACTTCTACCTAGGAACTCCTAGATATGAGTATATCCACTCACCCCCTATCACCGGAGTGATATCAACTTAATAGACAATAATAACTTAGATGACACTCTTCAAAGACACACAACCATTATTACTTAAAAGCTTATGAATGATTGACAATAAGTACTCTTGGCTAAGAACAATACTTAGAGTTGCTTACATGCTTCCTTCAAGAACAATAATTAACTCTATGCTTAAAAGCTTATGGGTGATGCATAGTTAGTACAACTCAGCTAACAACATTCCTACTCTTCTATCACAATGATATTATATAGGATCACAAATACCAATTGAATACAAATCCTAAAGGCTTAGAAAACATTATAATTTATTCCATGCTAAAACTAGGTTTTTAACCTTCTATTTATAACAATCTTCTGGACTGGATTGCGCCTCGGTAACATAGCAAATCAGCTACTAAATCATTGTAGAATCTTCAGCATAAAAATAGGTCCTCAATCATAACCTTCCTAATTTGTCTCCATAATTAGAAAATCAATATTCTTCTTGAATCTTCCAGACCTTAAAATCAGTGCCACATACGATAGCATAATATTCCAGAATATTCTCCATCACTTAAATCTTAAGCCGATCTAACAACCCAGACTAACACAATCACAATATCGAATGACTCTGCATAGGACATCTTGTATGATATGTTGCTTCAGTTGATGAATCTTATCAACTGAACATGTCTTCCTCATAACATAGGAGTTCAACCTGTTTTTCATAGCTAGTTAACTCATCCTATTTAACATATTGCTGCTATATTTTTTTTAATAAAATTGATGCCAATCATAAAATCAGAGAACTAACAAATCAACATCAAACTGTTATGGTATGTAGGGTTGATCTCGAATACTTATCTTGTATTCATACTTTTACAAAGTAAGAAAGTATCTTAATTCCACATTGAAATTGAACGCAGATGTACCCACATGCGAGGACGCAAGTGGAGAACTGTTTAGACAAATTCTCGTGTCTCTTTTCTTTTATTGCTTTACTTGCTTTAATTTTCATACATCAATTTGTCAAATATCATTGAGTAATCTATCAACGCGTAGTAGTTTTCCGAAACTGTTTGAATTGTGTGTTGAGTTACTTATAATCACTTTTGATTATAAGGGCTTTTTCATATCAACACAACACAAAGGAAAACTATGAAACTTTGATTTCACACCAAGTGTTTGACAAATTGTTTAGCTTATTTAACTTAAAGGAAAATTGTAATGTTCTATCTCTTACTCTCATTTACTTTCTATATGCAATTTGTTGAATGTGTTGTTTGATCAATTGATTCATATAGAATTTATATTTGATTATTAAAGTTTAAATTTCTTTGTTTATTAGCTTATAATCACTTTGATTGTAAGTGCTTTTGCATATCAACAAAGCTCAAAGAAAATTCTGAAAAAATGATTGTGCGTGACATGTTCGATAAATTGTCAAGTTATGGTTTTAATATGATTTCATTAGAAATAGAAAGTTATTGTGGTTGATATTATACTATTAATGGAGATATTATTATTTTTATTGATTTTATCATTATCTTAATTTCATATGGCTTGTGCATATCCTAGTTTTCAATAACTAGGTTCGTTTAGACTACTATTTTGATCTAAGCCAAAAACCTTCTGCTTAACATTATTTTTCAATTAAATTTTAAATAAATAATTTTGAAATGTCATTTTAATTTGGGCATCTATTCACCCCCTCTAGATGAGTTGTCGTAGTCTAACACCAACCTCTATACACTATACTTTCTATAATTCTATCTTCAATATTGCTATGACTACCTTTACCAAAGACAACATCATTTCTAAGCTGCCAGGTTCCATAAAGAGTTTCAGAAATCGCAAGTTTCATAAGACTTGCTCTCCATCCTTTTCTACAAATGTACTCCAAAATCTAGCTCAGTTCCTATGACCACTTTTTAGGAACATGAGGCACTTCTAAGCACTAACAGATGATTGATAGATTCATCTTCAGTCTTGCATAAGCTACGAACACTCTCTTAGATCATACCAAAACGAATAAGCATATCCTTAGTCCCCATCTTACCATGACAGATGAGCCAAGCTGTATGGTTTGCTCGAGGCCTAGCACAATTATTCTTTTAACTGAAATCTCTAGTTCACACGAGTATTGTCATCAATCAAAGCATAATACGTCATCTTCATATTGAACTTACTGCTACTTAGCATTTTGTCCTAGGTATGCTCGAATTGGGTGGTCAGATCTCTAAGATTCAGGATGTTTTTCATCACCCAAGAGCTTGTTATTCCTGCGGCAACTTCCATAACATTCTTATCTTTCAAGTAGTGCGTATGCACCCACTTAACCGACAACTTATCAAATTTTTTTACATAAGTTCCCAAGGCATTTCAGCATGGTCACCTTATTCCACACAGAAAGATTAAAAATGTTCATACTTCTTGTCTCTTAGGGTTGCATATAGTCTTCCACGCCACAAGACACATGGCTACCATTCCAGATAAAAGTCTAATCATGGCTTCGATCTTCTTTATCACATTTTGGGGAATGGGAAGACATTGCATCCAATATTGAGAGATTGCAAAAGTGATACTCTTAACCAACTGAACTCTCCTAGCATAACTCAAGAGTCTGGATGTCCAATGTTGGATTCTAGCCATGATCCTGTCAATTAGAGGCAAGTAATGATTGATGGTAAGCTTTGTGCTCGTAAGAGGCACCCCGAGATATCTCACAAGGAGTTGACCCTCTTTAAATGCAGTAGTATCAAGCATCTTCATCTTAGTGTCTCTATCAATCCCTCCAAATAAAGTTTACACTTGCTGGGATTGACAATCAAATATGTGGATAAAGAAAATTTATGAACAATTTCAAGCAGCATCTATACAAACATAATATCTCCTCTACAAAATAACACTACATCGTCAACAAAGGTGAGGTTAGTGAGGCCCATTTCCTCACACTTCACATTATGGTTAAAATTTGGGTTCAGCTGAATTTTAGCAAGAAGTCTGTTCAAATACTCCATCATTATGACAAATAAGAGGGGGAGATTGGACCCCCTGTCTTATGCCACACTTTGGCTGCATAGTGCCTGAAATCTCCCCATTGATGTTAAACATATATGTGACAGAGTTCACCACAGTCATCACCCGTTGAATGAACATGCTAGGAATGCCTATTTCTTGAAGAACCTTTTCCATAGCAAACCAGTCCACCATATCTGCTTTCTGAAGATTTATTTGCATCATGCACCTAGGGATACCACCTTTCCTAGAATAGCCTTTAAGCAACTCATAGGCAAGCATTATCTGGTTGTGAATAACTTGCCCTAGCACAAAAGCAGCCCAACTTAAACTAATGGTATCAGTAAGGACCCTGCCAACTCATAATCTTAGAGAACCTGCTATAGACATGTAATCCTTGACATGTTTAGAATAATATATTTTAGGGATCAAAGTTACCACAGTCTTGTTAAAAGCCCTGTATAAGTTGCCCTGCTCAAAAAATTCCATGATGGCTGCAATCACATCATCCTTTATTATAGACCAGCATCCCTTAAAGAATTTTGATCCATAGCCATCAGCTCCTGAGGACTTTAAATCACCTATACAAATATCATCTACTAAGTTATTTTTATATAATATTATTCTTTTTAATATTTTTTTTCAATTTAATCATTTAATATTTCTCATCACTATTTATTCTACAGCTTAATCAATGAATCAAAGATACATACTTACATGGCAGTTAGCCACAGAATATCATCTCAAAATATTCTATGATTAACATTCTTTTAATATATAATGATTATGATATTACATTATGCTTAAAGCTCTTTTATGTTTATGCTTTAACTTGAAACACCAAACTGGTTGAAACTGATGTGGTCAACTTTGTTCAATCGAATTGCACATAATAAATGTTTAGACAAATCTTCTGGCTTATTTCCCTGTATCACAAAAGCCATAGAAAAGGTTATAAGTTTTTCTCATAAACTGTCCTAGAGCGCTTATGAAAATAAGTTAAAAACAACTAATGGACAAACATATCATATGTTGTTTCCATAAACTCTTCCTAATAGTCTTGTAAATGAATGTGTCAAAAGATAAACTCAAATAAGTCAATCAGAACATACCCTGAGTGCTTATCATAAAAAAGTACTTATGATTCAAACTTTCTATAATTAAAGAAAATATAGTAAAAGTACTATGATAAGATAATTACCTGAATTGTGAGACCAAAATCCAGGTTAGTAAGCTTCAGTCTTTCTATGAAGCCTTCAAATCCTTTTCTTGCAATATAGCTAAATCTGTGCACATCCAAATCTATCTCAAGATAGTTTTCTCCCTGTGAAAGAAAAGAGATTCAGAATAAGAACCTTTTTATAAACGTGTATCATGTCTGACACCGACACAAATCACATAATATAACAGTTTTTAAATTATTACTGATATAGACGTATCAATGTTGGTGTCGTGTAGCCAACGACGGTAACAAATGGCATACCAGTGCACCTATAAAACACGCGGACGCGGGCTTAAACGCCACGATGTAAGCAACTTTGCATATGAAAACGGATGAGTAAAAGCAATATCTAAATGACCTTCTAAAAAATGCTTACAGCAACAAAAACTAAAAGTGAAATTATATGTTAGTGTATTTACAAAGTCTCGTGTTGACGACGTGAGAGAACAAGTTTTTCAGTGTATGCATTCATCAGCTTCTTTTCAGTCGCGCTTAAATTAAGATTTTTCACATTCACCACTCTACCTAAAATTTTTAATTTATCTCTGAACAGTGCAATTGAATCCATAGGAAAACCTTTAACTCTCAACTTCATCGATCATTTTCTGTCAAGAAACAAAACGACAGACACACTTGTCAATGAATTGTAACATGCAGCATAAATCATAATGATAAAATAAAAAAGGTGCAAGAGCATATTCCAATAACATACAATGATATTTTCTCGAATTGGTCTGAAAGATCTTGAGAATATCTTTCAGATAATTTGAAGTAAAAAATCACATTCATTCCTTCACCGTCGTTTTGACTTCGGAAGATTGTGGCAGGATATAATGATATTTGCATTTCAAAGGACATAAATATGAGAAGATCTTTATTGAAAAAGTGAACATTGTGACGAGAAATTCCAAGTTCATATATAATATGAAGAAGGAAATATGCATTTACATGAATTAGAGTGAGCAACATTATTTTCAATTTTATGAGAAGAAACCCTTTTTTTAAGAATCCTTCTACTTTTCATAAGTTGATTATGATTATTCAACTTCTTCATTTTAAGATCACCATAGACTTTAGGTTTAGATCCACAAGTCCCATTTTTTCAATTTAATTTATCTCAAACCCATTTCCTGATTCTTGTAATTTCAACAAAAGTTGAAGCTTTTTCCAAAAGGGTATTCGGAAAATTAAAGGGTTTTCGTTTTGTTTTGGTTTTGGTTATCTTCATCAACATTGTTGTTGGGATGGTGAAGGGTCATCCATCAATTCGTTAAAAGGCGGTTGTCGTAAATTGTGACATCAAAATGAACTTGCAATAAAAAATTAACGAATGTATGACTAGGGTTTCCGGTGAAGAGAAAGAGGGTTTAAAGAAATTAAGGGTTTGGGGAGACCAACCTTTAACATTGAAGATTCCAAACTGATTTCGAACAAATCATTAGGTAATATGCTTCAAATCGAAACTTTTGGTGAAGAATCAAGATTGAGTGGAAAGCTAAAAGTATCACACTTACGATAGTTTAGATTTGGCAGAAGCAGGAAATCGTGGAGTTAGTGGAAAGGCTTCATTATGAATATTTATATTTATAACGTATTTTAATGGTGAAGGGTATGGGGGTGGCGACAATACGTTTACCGTCGTGACCTTTGATAAATTTTCAGTAATAAAGGGTGATGGTTGGTTCACCGTCTGACCTCTGACCTTTGATAAATTTTTTGTAATCAGGGGCGACAATTCATGTACCATCGTGACATAAGATTTAGGACGGTTCTTGAGACAATTGTGAATTTATTTTTAGGACGGTTTAATAATAACAGTTGTAATATTTATTATTTTTAAAAAATGTAAGGGTGGTAGGTGTATACCATCGTGACACGCGTCTCTGTATTAGAGTTACAACAGTTATTAAGTAACTATCACAATTTTTGTGTCGTAAAATCCTAATTTTCTTGTAGTGATTTTGGTTCCAAGACAACCAGGAAACTATATAGATGTTTATTTAACGCCATTGATTGGAGATTTAAGAGTTTTGTGGGAGAAAGACTTTGATGTTGATGATACGTATATAGGTGATAACTTTAAGCTGTGTGCCATGTTGTTTTGCACAATCAATGACTTTCACGGTAATTTGTTTGGGTAGATCGTCAAGGGACATAAAGCATGTCCTATATGTGAATTTGATATATGCCACAATCAATTAAAAAAAGGAAAAAGACTACTTATCTTTGGCATCGAAAATTTCTAAGAACTAATCATCAATATTGTAGATTGAAGAAGGCTTTTAATGGAGAGCATGAGTTTGATATAGCTCCAAAGCCCTTAACCGGGAAGGAAGTTTTTAAAAGACAAAAACACATTAATATTGTCTTTGGTAAGAAAAAAAAAACAATTGGAGAAAATTATTTGGAAAAAGAGGTCAATGTTCTTTAATCTTTCATACTGGTCTAGCCTTGATATAAGACATTGTCTTGATGTGATACATGTGGAGAAAAATGTATGTGATAGTTTAATTGGAACAGTTCTCAATATTAAAGGCAAGAAAAAAGATACTAATAAATCCCATAAAGATATGGTTATGATGGTTATACGACAAGAGTTAGCCCTAAAAGAAATAGGAAATATAACCTATTTGCCTCCAACATGTCAGACTCTATCTAAAAAAGAAGAAAAAAAGTTCTTGCGATTGTTTGCAAGGTATCAAAATTCCCTAGGGGTACTCATCAAATGTGAAGAAACTTGTGTCATTGAATGATCTCAATTTAGTTGGATTAAAATATCATGATTGTCATGTCTTGAGCAACAACTTCTACCAGTGGCTATCCGTGGTATTTTACCAAGAAATGTATGGGTAACTATCACCAGATTATGCTTATTCTTTAATGCTATATGTGGTAAAGTTATTGATCCTGGAAATTTAGATGACTTAGAACATGAGGCTGCAATTATCTTGTGTCAATTAGAGATGTTTTCCTCTTCATCATTCTTTGACGTTATGGTTCACTTAGTTGTTCATATTGTAAGGGATATTATAATTTATGGTCTATTTTATTTACGATGGATGTATTTGATTGAGCGATGCATGAAGATCTTTAAAGGGTATACAAAAAATCATCATCGTCCGGAAGTTTCGATCGTTGAACGATACATCACATAAGAAGCTATTGAGTGTTGTACAAACTATTTGTCAGAAGCGAGCTCTATAGGAGTTCCTGAGTCTCGTCGTGATGGAATTTATGATGGCAGAGATATTCAAGGTTTAAATGTTAAGATATTTGACCGAGAAGTAGTTCTTCAAGAACATTTGTATATATTGAATAACCTTAGTAAAGTTCAACCTTACTTGACCGCTCACAAAAGTCTTATAAAGGAAAACTTCCCCCGGATGAATAAAAGATGGTTGTTGATAGAGCATAACAAAGCTTTCATAACTTGGTTTAATGAAAGTGTTTCTAAAGAGAGTAGTTTATTGGAGACAATTCAATTGTTGTCATGTATCCCTATGTTTAATGTCATTACTTAGAGTGCATACGTCATTACTAAATTTTCTTTCTATACAAAATCAAAGAATGATCGTACCACCATGTAAAATAATAGGGTTATGGTTGAACCTGAATCGATGTACTTGTCTACTTCTAAAGATAGCAATCATTTACTAGCGTCTAGAGCGTGCGTACTTTAGGGCCATTGAGGAGATTTTGGAGATTGATTATGTTGTTTTTAAAGTGTCTTTATTTAAGCGTAAGTGGGTTGACGGTAACACTGGTGTAGAAACCGATGAGTTAGGATTCACGCTGGTTGATCTTTGAAAGAAAACTTATATGAACGCACCATTCATCATGGCAACCCAAGCAAAACAACTTTTTTATATCATTGATCCTTCTAACACTATGCGGTCAATTGTTCGTCACGGAAAATATCTTCCTGATAGTACTGATGAAACTCAAGATTTTAACTATGAGATCCCTTGTTTCGTAACACATGTACGTCATTCAACTGAAGAAAATGATTCAGATGATATGCATGCTATCCGTCGTGATCATAAAGAGGGGATATGAGAAAATTAGTAAGTAACATTTTTATATCACTTACTATTTTATAATTATTCATTTTATTCTTTTTTATTCCTTTTACTAAAGAATTAAAGTTTTTGTTGATCATCCTAATTGATTTCAAATGTTGTTCAAATTATAGGTGTTTAACGACCAGTGACGAATCCTAGCAGAGAACTTTTGTACAACCTACAAAACTTTCTATTTTGGTTATTGGTTTTGTTGGTTAATCATTTGTTCTAGTTTTTTTGTAAAATTATAAAGTGTGTGCCATTTTGACTTTGCATTTTGTGTAAACAATGAATATCTGTGGGACAATGTTTCTGTTTGAGAAATTGACAAAACGTACACTGCTTTTGTTTTATGAATTTGCAAAATATGGTTCTATATTCTGTAATATGATTTTGTAATACAGGTACGAATGACAATATTAAAAAAATGTTATCCCCTCAGTTTTTATTAAACATGAGGTAAAAATATTGAGCTATTACCTCGGTTTTACACAACATCGAGAGTAAATATTAGACACACCATTCAGTTCTGAAAATAACAAAAATACATAAGTTGGGGTTGAAACCCATGCGCGGATAACTTAACCCTTCAATTTTTTAATAACTGAGGGTAAAGTGACAACTTTTCATGACGTCCTTTGTTATCTCGCTTCTGTAGCTGAGGTTAAATGCATTTCGCGTTCGAGGTGATATATGTATTTTGTTGTAGTGTGAATATTTGGAATGTCGTGAGTTCGAACTTACACCTGTGCCATTGGATATCCCTTCACAGCTACCAATTGTGTTGACCTAACGAGACATTCATGTGGTAATTTAATATGATATACTCTCTCTATTTTTATTTATAAGAAAATTTTAACGTTTTAGATTCATTAAATAATCGATGTATTTAACCTATATATAATTCAAATACATTATTTACTCAATGAATAACTTATAAAAGAGAATAGAGAGAGTATATAATTTAAACTCAATAAAAAAAGTTTATATTATTTAAAAATAATATTACAATTTAATTAAATAATTTTAATATTTTTCGGATTCTTTGAATTTATGGTTTAGTGTTGTTCACTATACCCTATGTGATCACAAATCCAATAAAAACTCCAAAATACGTTGTGTATCATCTAAATTTCAAAAACTCAGATGTGCCTAGTATTCACCAAACCATTTCATTAAAGAAGTATTTCATTTTTGTCAAAAATATGTCTGGATTCCAATTTTCGGATCCACCTTGCCTACATATTTCCTATGTTTTCTTATAAAGGGAGAAGAAAAGTTTCAGATTTCAATATCTCAATTAATTCCATGATAATATTTTACACACTCATAAACTATAAGGGCGTTTTTGTTTTGCAAAATAACAATTACTAGATAAAATAGTACAAGACAATTCAAAACAATACATAATAACTTTTTGTATTGTATTGTATTTGATGATTTAATTTTTTATATAAAAAGTTTTTATTTTAAATTTTTTTATCAAATTATATACTAAACTTTATATATGTTGGTAATAATATTTTAATTTTATGTTGGGTGCTGAAATTTTGCCACGATTGTTTGCGGAGGGTTTCAAGAATGAAGTTTATCAATATGCTCCTTTAATTGATTCAAAACAATGAGTTTGAAGTCTTAGTTGATTGAGTTAAGGACAACATCTATTTTACACGTGGTTGGGTTGCTTTGTGTGACTTCTATGGAATTCAGTTTGGTGCTTGAATTTTTCTTTTATACACTGGTCATGGAAAATTTAGAATTATTTTAAAATATCATTTTTACCGATTAATAGAACCTCTTGTTTTTAACCTTCATATGAAATTTAAAATAGATAAGAAATTTAAATTGTACTGAGGCATCTTTCCTCTGCCAACTCTATGTCCAGGATTATCAACACGGTCAAAAAAATTTGTATCATACTTTGACTTTCTTAGGAATTTTAGATTTTCTATGAGACTCTAATCCATTTTAAAAATTGACGCTTTCTATGGAACTTAAACTCATTTCGAGGCTTTTTCGTCGTATTATTCTATAACTCAATTTGAGGTCAACATTTCTATGAGACTCTAATTCATTTGGTTGATGCGAAATAATAGTTCATGTATCTTAATCCTTATTTTTCATAAGTATCATAATTTGGGACGAGCACAACAATGAGATTGTTTTCGACTACCTGACTAATCCACATTTACAATGTGATCGTACTTGTTGTGAATCTTGTTGTTAATTACGACAAAATTCAATATCAATTTGTGAGACAGATAATAGTAGCAATCAAAATAAATAGTCTACAACAATAATCTACTCTCCAATTCACTATACTCATAAAGTTATTACAAGAGATTACATATGAGTTACAAGAAAATAACATTTGCTTTCAGGTTTCCAAGAACAACCCTGAAGGTTTCCAAGAATTACCCTATTTTATATTGTTTTCCAATCTCTTCAACCTTCAATATATGAATAACTCAAACCCAAAGTGTAAACAAGTGTTTCTCAATTCCCAATAACCTTAGATAACTCCAAAAATTTCCAAAATCCTTGTCTTTTTAATGTTATCCTTGAGAATAGCCAAAACCCTATGTTATGCCTTTAAACCATTACTCTCCATTTTTTGTTGTAAGCTCTAAGATTGTCGCATTATAATAACAGAAGAGATACATATTTATAATAGCCAAAATCCAAC